CCTGGCTCGTTGCAAAGGGCTATACCCAAATGGAAGGGGTGGATTACCTCGACACTTTCTCTCTGATTGCGAAAATGACAATTGTTCGAGTGTTGCTAAGTGTAGCTGCTGCACGAAAATGACATCTTCTTCAACTTGACGTTAATAATGTGTTCTTCCATGGAGATCCTAATGAAGAGGTATATATGGCTTTGCTCGATGGTTTTCCTTAATCTCAACCTCCCAAGGTATGTAAACTATAAAAGTCATTGTATAGAGTCAAGTAAGTGAGTCGCCAATGGTATTCGAATTTAGCTTCTCCTTTAATATCCATTGGATATCATCAGTCAACAGCTGATCATTCACTCTTTGTTAAACAAAGTGCAAGTTCATTCACAGCTTTGCTTATTTACATGGATGACATTGTTCTTTCTAGTGATGATTTGGATGAGATAAACCGGGTGAAAGCATTTCTAGACTCAAGCTTCAAAATCAAAGACTTGGGGGAACCTCTATTTCTTTCTCGGACTAGAAGTTGCAAGATCAGAAAGTGGGATAATCATTAATCAGAGGAAGTATGCTCTGGAACTGCTCTTAGATAGTGGAATGATTAGCTACAAAGCTGCTTCCACTCCCATGGACACTTCCAATAGATAGTGTCGGGTTAAGGATTCTTCTGAGCTTTTCTCAGATGCACAAGCATATCATCGGTTAGTTGACCGTTTGTTGTATCTTACCACTACTAGACCTATTATTTCATTTGTTGTTCATCAATTAAGTCAGTTTGTTTCGACACCAACAGCTACTCAAATGGCAGCAGTGCATCGGGTTCTTAGGTATATCAAAGCTACCCCAGCTCAATGGCTATTCTTTTCTTCCCACAATGACTTACACCTATTTGGCTTTGTGGATAGTGATTGGGCTCGTTGCCCAAACACCAGACGCTCAATCTCTGGACTTTGCACATTTTTGGAAAGTTCTCTCATCTTTTGGCGATCGAAAAAGCAGAATACGGTGACTCGTTCTTCAGCAGAGGCAGAATAATGTGCACTAGCTTCCATGTTCTGCGAAATTCAATGGCTCCGCTTCCTTCTTCATGATCTTCGAGTCCTTTATTCACGACCAGCTTCTGTGTTTTGTGATAATGTCTCAGCAATTTACCTTGCCAAAAATCCAGTGTTCCACGAATGTTCGAAACATATCGAGACTGATTGTCACATTACACAAGAGCAGATCAATGATAGCACACTTTGCCTTCTTCATGTTCCTTCTTCTTTTCAGCTAGCTGATGTGTTCACCAAACCACTTCACCCACGACCATTCCATTCCATACTTAGCAAGCTTGGTGAGATATTCTTCGTCGAGCTTGTGGGGGGTGTTGGATATAAGCCCTAGTCCTAAGCAAAGTGAGGCAACTTCTGATAAAGTTGCTATAAGATGTAAATGGGCCAAGTTAGACTAATTTTGGTTTTGATAGCCTAAGCCTATGTAAAATATTTAGAGTCTATACTAGCTTATTAGCTTATTAAAGGCTTGATTTATATGTCTGGTCTAGCCAATTATAAAAAATTATAAAGCCTAACACGGCCTATAAGGCCTATCAAGTTGCAAACTAAAATTTATAGGCTCAAACCAAACTGAAATATAAAAATTATAAAATTTCTTATTCACAAAGATCATATGAAATAATATTTTCATTAACAACATATGAAATAATGTTCATAAAGATCACATGAAAATTCATATATATTTTACTAATTTCTTATTCACACTTTTTTTTACTAATTTAATTTAATATTATTTTTTAAATTTTATTTGTTAAAATGACATCAATCCTATTACCTTGAAAATTAGTGTTACAAATCATGATTTCATAATATGTCTTTAAGTGAACAATATATATCATAAATATATTATATTATTAAAAAAATAAAAAGCTAGCATGCAAGCTTTTTAAAATGGGTCTATGGCCTTATTTTTAAATGGCCTTTTTCTAAAAACTTAAGATAGGTCAGGCTGTAGGCCTTAGGTTGTCTGCCTTATTTATATTCTTAGTTGATGATATTGTGCTAGCTGGAAAAAGAATCCACGTCGGCTCGTCTCCAACGCTAAACGTGGGTCCCACGTGAAGTTGTAAAATTCTGTTAATTAGTTTTTGATAATTAATTTCGTTGTTAGCTTAGTTAACTTTATCTCGTGTATAAATGTATGTATCTATCAATAACTGAGTAGTGAATTTATTCTTCAATTTTCTCCAAGATGAGTTCTCGTTTTCTCTCCTATGTGATTCTTAAGGGGATGTATTGAATTAGGATTTCAAAGGATTTTAATGGATTATTTTTGGATAAAAAAATTTGTTGGTATTCGATTAGGATTTTAATGGATTGAAAAAAAGTCATGTGGTATTCGATTAGGATTTTAAAAGATTATTTTAGAATCCGTCCAAGTCTGTTGGTATTCAATCAGGATTTTAAACAATGGAATCACAATCTCGTGGTATTCAAAAATCCGATGATTTTAATGGATTTTCTATTGATGTGAATTTCGTTAGACTTTTTAGTGAAAATTATAAATAGGATGCCTCTCTCACAATCTTACCCTAACCTCTAGGATTTCATGAGATTTCTTTATTGCAGTGTTTTCTTCTTCCTTTGGCAGGTTCCGCCATGGGAGCTTCATCAAAACTCAAAAATAACATATTTTTAAGCGATTTTCATTACAAAACCTGGAAACAACAAACCAACGAGATCTTTGAGTCATTTGTTGAGAAATTTTGAAAGTTTAAAAAGTTATTTTTCAAACTATGGGTCGCAGTTTTTCTTGGCACAAAAAGATGTGATTTTTGTATTAAAAACAATATAAATAGTGGAAAAATAACAGGGAATTAAAACCTTCAAACCAATTTTCGTTTTACATCAATGAAACAATATCAATTTAAAGAAAGATTGAAACTTTCATAATATGAACCTATATTTCGTAATAATATATTCATGAACGAAATTTCTTCACTATATGAAAGGATTTCAAACAATTTTTGTGTCAATAGATAACTAAAAAATTATTTTTCAAAAGCCTCAAAGCAATTTAAGGTTTCAATGTATCTATTGAAAAAAATTTGAGAAATTTTCTAAACTTTCATATAATAAAATCCAAAAATTCAAATTTGAAATTTTCTTATGCATATGATATATGGCTAGAAAACTCTCATCACATAGAACAAAAATCCCAAGATTTTCAAGATCAATTGCAAAAAATTCCAAACAAAAATTTATCATGAACTTTAGGTTCTATATGCAAATTTAGAATATTTTAATAATTAAAAAATTTGAGTTTTATAATCATATATGCATAGCTTTGATACCAAATGAAGAAGACAATTTTCAACCATTGGTCAAACCCAAGAGCATGAACGAGAAAATGTTAATACGTGGAGGACTAGTATAACTTTAGATATGTGAAGAGCTGTTGCTTAGTAATTTTGAATGTTTGTTAAAAATTATATTATGTTTTACTGATTGAGAAAATTATATTAGGTTTTACTTTTTTTTATTAATTTCATTGCATTTCTTTGTTATTTTTTTTTATTGACTCTTGTAATTATGAATGTTTGTTAAAAATTCATACGATTTTTTAAAATCTTATAAATTCATATTGTCCTTTCAAATCTTATAAATTCTATTAAAATTCTTTAAAATTCAATCTTATGAAATCTTGATTGTAAAAAAAGTCTTTTAAAAAAGTTTTTAAAGTCCCTCCAATTCTAAAATATCTTTTAAAATCTGTAAGATTTTTTATCTCAAAAAAATCTTTTAAAATCTTAATCCAATACACACCCCCTTAGTTTATGAGATTAAGCTCTTGTTTAACGTGTATATATGGGATGACAACATTTTTCGCATAATTCTTACGTTAAAATTTAATCTCTTTTTTAACTTAATAGCTTGATAACAAAATTCCTTTCCAAGGAGTTTTCAACTATTTTTTTTTCCCCTAGTGATAATTCATTCCTCTATGATAAATACGCAAAGTCTCTCTCTTTTTTCAAGAAAAATAAATTATTAAAATACCTTATATATTTTTTCTTAAACTGCAAAACAACATCATTCTTGGATTATTATAAATAATTTTATCTATTGGGATAAATATTTTTCTCTTAAATTAACCATGAAATTTTGTTATCCGTCCCTCAAATATTAAATTTGTCCTTTTATATCATCACTTTATTTCTTTATTAAGAAAAAAAATAATGATATTTTGAATCTTTGATAGATTAATCTGATGACAAAATATATTAAGATTAATTCAATTATTATAGTATAAATTTTCTTAATAAAAGATTAATTTGTCCTATTCACACCCCTTACTTTTATATTCTTGAATGATATATTATCAAGAATAGCATGTGATTAAATTATTATAATGTAAAGTTTATAATATAAACAATTTTTATATAAAAGCTTATTTAATTCTCAACACAAAACGAAACTCATTGGAGCTAAAAACAATAATAATAAAAAGAAACCAATAATTTTAAAGTGAGTAAAAGTATACTTTTTATTTACAAACATTTTAGTTCACAAACTTTTACAACTAAATTTTAATCATTGATTTCTGTCAATCTAAAAGTTATAATTATTGAGAATTAATAATTAATTAATTAATATAACACAGTAATTTATAACCGTTAGATTAACAGAAAATAAAGATTAAGATTTGGTTGTAAAACGTAAACGAAATTTTTTATAAATATAACATTTTTTTATTAATTTAATATAAAATATAACTTAATTTCATATACTAAATAATTTACGGGTTGTAAATCACTTTAAAAAAAGAAGAAGTAAAAACTCATTTCAAAACGAGCCTTTTCTTATTCACTTATTCAGCCATTCTTCTAGCCTTCAACTTCAAATGAACTAGTCAACTAGTATTAAACGAATGCTCTATAGTCTATACAATACATATAAAAAAAAAAAAAAAAAAAAAGTTGGAGGAGGGCTCATGCGAGGAAGGAAGGAATAAGAACCCTGAACAAAACATCAATTGCAAGAAATCCCATTCCTAATTATTGAAGCAATGCTTTTATGGAAACCACGATTTAAAGTGTTGGAATTTTGTTTCATGCATTTCATCAAACACGCAACGTACCCATAAACATACTCTTCATTCTCTTTATTCAACGTACCTACCTAATATACAAATTATTGCAATACATGCTTGAATTGAAAGATGAAGTTAGGGAAGTTGGGATTCACAGTGCTGTTACTCCTCTTGAGCTGCTCTGCTTGTTCAGCTTGGTTTGGTAATAAACACAAAAGTTCTACTGGAAATGGAAGGAACTCCATTCTTCCAGATGAAGCCTCATCATCATCATCATCATCATTCCTAAACCGTTTTCATGGTGGCTCATCCATCGTGTTCCCGGTTCATGGCAATGTTTACCCTGTTGGGTACGTAAAAAGACTTTCCTTTTCTCTTCTTATTTTTTTTCATTCAGTTTCACTTTATGCCTTTCTTTCTCCTCTGCTGCTTTGTTCATGCCTTTTACTGCTTGGACCATCTTTAAGTTCTCTTCTATTTCTTTTTTCTTTTTGATTTTTTTGCTGTTTATTCTTGGAAAGAATAATGTTGAAACAATAAATAAAACATCTTTCTGGGGTTTCTTCCCATTCTCATATTATGTTTTTCTGTTTCATTTCAAATATAGTTTTTTTATTAGTTGACAAATATGTATATGTGTGTATATGTGTGTGTGTGTCTCTCTCTCTCTAAGTCACCGTTACTTTCAACATTTACAGGTTTTATAATGTTACTCTCAACATTGGCCACCCACCCAGGCCTTATTTTCTTGATATTGACACGGGTAGCGACCTCACATGGCTTCAATGTGATGCCCCTTGTTCCCGCTGTACTCAGGTATTCATCTACTGCCAATGTTCAAAATCACCAGGCAAATTTAACAGCTTGAAGAACAAAGTCTTTTCTTGAACACATGCCATGTCAAATGAGATTGGAAGCTCTTATTTGCATATAGATACATGTATAATCTGATTGATTACAAACTCCTATTAATATTAATCTTAAATATTTTTTTGCTTATTTTTCAGACACCACATCCACTTTACAGGCCCAGCAATGACTTAGTTCCCTGCAAGCATCCCCTGTGTGCATCCTTACACCAGACCGATGACTACGAATGTGAAGTACCACATCAGTGTGACTATGAAGTTGAGTATGCAGATCATTACTCTTCCCTTGGTGTACTTGTCAATGATGTTTACCTTCTCAACTTTACAAATGGAATCCAACTCAAAGTTCGTATGGCACTTGGGTTAGTAACTTGGCAAGCTTTGCTTTAAAGCTTTACCACCTCAAACCTTTTTTACTTCCCTTTGGTCTATATGTGTATGTTCTTTTTAAATTTAACAGTGTTTCATAAGTAACCCATACTCATGATGATTATACCATTTGTATTTTACTAAGAAGTAAAAATTCTTTATAATTATGTAATGCACTTCTTTTTGGTTCCCTTCTGCAGATGTGGATATGATCAGGTTTTTCCAGATTCTTCTTACCACCCCCTAGATGGAATGCTTGGCATTGGAAGGGGAAAATCCAGCTTGATATCACAGCTGAATAGTCAGGGTCTGGTGCGATATGTAGTTGGACACTGCTTGAGTTCACAAGGAGGAGGTTATATCTTCTTTGGAGATATTTATGATTCTTCTCGACTGACCTGGACTCCAATGTCATCCAGAGATTAGTAAGTAGATTTTCTGAATCTCAGATCTTTATTTTACATTTTCCACAATTATTGTAATGATTCATAATTCTTTCTGCTGATTGAAATCCCATCTTTGTGATTTGTCTCAGCAAACATTACTCAGCTGGGGCAGCTGAACTCATTTTTGGAGGGAAGAGGACTGGGGTTGGAAATCTTCTTGCTACTTTTGACACTGGGAGTTCTTACACTTACTTCAACTCCAAGGCTTACCAAGCAATAATATCTTTGGTCAGTTGAAAGAAATTTGCACTATATTCCCCAATTTTAAGCATTTCAAAAGCATGAGGCATTACTAAGATCATATCAATTTCCTCATGCAAGATTTGAATTGTTTAAAGAAGGAAAAATAAAGTATTTCTTCATTGATACAGGAAAATATTAACACATTACTTAACTTGGGTCTATCGTTCAATTTTTATATGTAGTTAAAGAAGGATCTAGCTGGAAAGCCCATAAAAGAAGCACCTGATGACCGAACTGTCCCTCTATGTTGGCATGGTAAAAGACCTTTCAGAAGCATATATGAAGTCAGAAAATACTTCAAGCCTATGGCGCTTAGTTTCACCAGCAGTGGGAGAAGTAAAGCTCAGTTTGAAATCCCTCCTGAAGCATATCTGATAATATCAGTGAGTCCAAACTAATCAATGTTTCTAGATTGACTTTTTATTCTTTTTTTTGCTATCACAAGTAACAGATGCATTTCATGTGTGAACGCTAATAAATTGTTCTGCCAGAACATGGGAAATGTTTGCTTGGGCATTCTAAACGGTTCTGAAGTAGGGATGGGGGAACTGAACCTAATCGGAGGTAGGAATGTTTTTACTATCTCTTTTCTTCTGATGCTCGTTTAGGATAATGATTATTCTCACTTGTCCTGCTATTCTTCACCTGTTTAGCAGTTTTCACCAGAGTTAACTCTTAATGAACTTTGTTTATGCAGACATATCCATGCAAGACAAAGCGATGGTATTTGACAATGAAAAACAGTTGATTGGTTGGGTACCGGCAGATTGTGGCCGGGTTCCAAAATCTAGAGATGCCAGCATTTGATCACTAAACATATCTCGTTCACTCAGTTTATATCTTTATTATTTCATCAGATAGTAGCTAACTAGCTATTGTCCTACTTTATAGAACAGGGTGATTGTATTGTAATATATGAATATTAATCTGTTTCACTGTTTGTGAAGATAGCCTTGTGTTGTGTATAATATATATTGGTACGTGGTATATTATTAGTGTTTATAGTGTATTTCCGACTGCTTATAACTTACAAAGTAATCAGTCATATAATTACATCACATTAGTTTGACTGCATGGCTTTGGGGATTTAAATTAGAATTGGAAATGCTGAGCAAAGAGCAATGCAAGTTGATGCAAATATTAGATGCATCTTTGATTGTATAATTAATTGGCAGGATTCATGCAATAATATACTATTAATCCATCTTCTTTCTCAACATTTTCAAATCTATTCAAATTTGACTATAGAAAACATTTTTTCTTCATCCATATAAATTATTGCTAGTATTCAGGCTTTATGAAAAGATAATAATCCATGTTCCAAAAACAGAGACAGACAGGGTTAGAAATATCAAAGTTTGAACACAACTAGCAAATTCAGTCATACAATGCGACAGTGTTCATCTCTACAAAAAATAGTAACCCTTTCTCAACTGTCTCACAAAATCTGTTTCACTAAGGCACTGTTGATGTTATTATACTTGAGTTTGTTTAGAGGAATTTATGTGAGACCCTTTAAGTTGGGAACATTAATTAGAGGGGGCAAAAATCAAAATCATCAGTTACGGACAATATATATTTACAGGATATTCTCAGCATCAACATTTTTTATTTTGGTTTATGTTGGTTGAGCAGCATCAACTTATTATTAGTATATTGGCAGCTAACTCATAAGTTTTATTATTTTAATGCAAGTTCTTTCTTTTGACGTAGAGGTAAAGACAAAACATATATCTATAATATTAATGTCAAACATGCAGGCTCGAGGCTGGGCTAGACTGCACCATTCCATCCCCTTTGAATTGAAGATTTTTAATTCAACCGTTTCCTTTGAATTGAAAAATAGAAGTTATATATTACAAATATATGAAAAAATCGTACTACAATAGCAATGGAACAAGAATTTTTCTATGGGTGGTCGTTACTCGTTACACCTAGGCAATAACACTAAACATGGCCCCATTAAAATGGCTTCTGTAGGAACATGAACATGTCCTGCAATGGCGAGAGCTGGTTGATCTGGTACTGGGCCTGGGCCTGGGCCTGAGTGCCAAAAGGGTCATCCACCGACAGGTTATTATCATCCAAGTAATTGAACTGAAAATCAAATAACGTGTCATCTAGCTGTAGCTCCAGTTCATTCCACTTTGGCTCGCTCTGAACCTCCCTGTCGCACGTGACATCCGGTGAAACCACGTGCTCCGAGCAGCTCGAGTCCGTGTGCAGACGTGGCACCGAATCCGACGTGTCCATGTACAATTGGTCATTCGCGAATTTATGGATTTCTGGCTTCGTCTCATTCTCATGCTCATAGTTAACATGAACCTCCCCTGAAAATTTTGGTACCGTGTTGTTGTATTTCTCAACCTTCCCTTTCTTATTATAAATTCGACACAGCACCCAATCATCAAGCTGCATCATTGCCATAACACCAAAACAAAAATCAGGTATTTTTTCTTCCCAAACAATTTTCATATCATAATAAATGAAAATCAATACAAAACAAAATAAATAAATAAAATTGAAATTAAGCATACCCTCAAGTTGTTTTTCTTTTTGGCTGATCTATCAACATTGGCAAGGCGATATTCATGCATAATCCAATTGGTTTTCATGCCTTTAGGGGCTTTCCCTGCGTAGAAAACAAGTGCCTTCTTAATCCCAAGTGCTTTCGGTTTTCCAATCGGTTTGTCAGCTCCGGTTGCTTTCCAATACCCGCTACCGGCGGCCCGGTTCGGCCGTGAACCGTTCGGATATTTCCGGTCCCTTGGAGAAAAAAAGTACCATTCTTTCTCACTGTAAACACCCATTTCTGCACATCAAAAATCATTTTTTTTTTTTTATAAACAATTTTACACACAAAAAAAAAAAAAAACAGAAAAGAGCATAAGAAGAATCAAGACTCAATTAAACAAGTACCTGGAAGCTGCCATGGATCAAACTTATACAAATCGATTTCTTTGATGATAGGAGCGGCGATTGATTGTCCAGCACATTTCCTACACAAGTAGTGATTCACCAATTCCTCGTCGGTAGGGTGAAATCTGAAACCAGGTGGTAACTCTAATTCACCCTTCATTGGCGTCTCTTCTCTTTTTTCTCGATCTCTTTCCCTTGTAAGCTGTTTTTTGTTGTTGACTGTGATTTTTCTTCTCTGCTCTGCGACTTGAAACTTACGAAGTTATGAGAGAGTGATTACATGGGTTTTTCTTTTATAGTGGATTCAATAAAAATTTAGACACGTGCTTTGGTGAAGGGGAGGCCATATCCATTAACTATTAATTGTTAAATGTTAATATTTATTATAAAGCAAGTTCCGAACCTTAGCCTCTGCTGACCGCAGCCACCACGTGGCACTGGTTGAGTGGACATTGCACACGTGTGACTGTTCCACTTTTCGATGATTCTGTCACTGCTTCCGTCACACCCCCTTGTTCGCCGTACTTTTGTTTTTTCAAAATGTCGGCTCAACAGTTATTGCGCATCGTTGACTGTCTCCGTCTGTAGCAGGTTCCGTCTAGTCGACGAGAAAAACTTCAGTATATCGGGCGCACTATATTCTCTCTCTTTTTTGGATTAAAGCGCACTATATTCTCTTTTATTAAAAATAAAAAAAAATTAGTACTTAAATAAAATTATAAAATATAATCATTTTTTCTGCGCAAATAACTTATCTGCAGTGAGTCAATACCACGTTGTTTTGGGACAGAAATTATGGTGTTTTTGTAATTTTAATTTATTTTAAGGTTATAATAGTCTTTATATTCATAATTTTTTAAGATTTTAATTTCAGAACGACGTCGTTTTGGGAATAAATACAAATAACTTATCTGTATTAACTGCAGAAATATTTTTTCCATAAATAAAAGGAAGAAACATTTTCTTTTTAAATAAAAAAGAAGCATTGTTAACCAAAAAAAAAAAGAGCATCAAATTCAGTATTATCATAAATTGAATTTTCTCCTAATCAACACAGTGACACACCCAATCATGTGGTGCTCCGAATCCAAATATACTTATTGCTCTGCCCAATAACATTGTGTCACGTATGAAAAATTTGCTAATGTCAAGCGGAAATGGATCTTTTCTTATTTAAATTTCACATAATTTGATAATGTGAAATTTTTATATCTATCTCTTATTTCATTAATAATCATTAAATCTCACTTATTTAATATATGTGAAAAAAAATAGATATAAAAATTTTACATAATTAAATCATATAAAATTTTAATACGAGAGAATATACTCTTATCCACTCTCATGTTAAGCACGGCATCAAAAGACATTCTCTTATTAAAAAAAAAACCCAACCAATGCGGTAACAAAATCTTATTTTAAATCAGATTTGAAGTTTTGAACAGACAGAGAATATTGATTGTCAATACTGAGAATAATATGTTATAAAACACACGTATTATTGTTTTATGATATTTACTTTAAAAAATAAATATTATAATTAAAGTTGAAGACACCCATTCAGTGATGCAGCAAAAAGTATAAACATTTAGCCGAAATCAAATGTATATAAATACACATAGAATAGGGGGTTAGGACTGGTGAGACCAAAGTAAGTGGAAAGCCTTGGCTGTAGAGGATCTGAACCTCGATTCAACGGGTAAGTATAAATAAAACGACAAGTTCTTTGATGCCTACGTACGCAAACCAGCGTCATCAGCTAGCTCATAGCTGGGCTTTGGAGGAAAATTCATCTGTAAACCCGCCAACCACTCTTGCATTGTTTTTGTAGTTCTTGTCTTGCAAGAAATTGAACGCCATGGAGAAGAATAGTCTAACACCCACGTTGTGTAATATCTTGTTACAATAATTAATTACGAGTTGCCATGTCACAGTAATGAAAATTCAGTTCATGAACCCTCTGTTTGTGGACATGGCTTATATTATGCGAAAAATCAACATCGTGCCCACATTAGCATTAATTCATAATGGTCCATTATTTTCCAACCCAGTCTCATTTGGAATAATACTTTTCATTTTCTCTAATTAATTTTTCTACCTGACAAATTAATTTAGTTGATGCTTAATTAATAGAATATTCCCCCGCCCCCGGGATATTTTGCAGCCACTAATAATGGGGCATGATGGGCTGCTGTCATATGCCAAAAGTGCTGCTTAATAATCCATTACCTTTTCTATGTGATGGATGAATTTTTTTGAATTTTTTTTTTGATTAAAATGGGAATTGAACACTATACACACCTAACACACACCCCACACTACTAGGCTAATCTTAATATTTCTCAATATTTTTTTTTTCAAGATTTTTATCCTTGACCCATATAATGGATTCCACGTACTCTTTGAGATTATGTGATTTATCAATTATAAGGTAAATCTCTCTATAAACAAAAGATTTAACTTCATAGATAATTCCTTTGAAATCATTGCATCTCTTATCATCATTATGTACACACATCATTATTATTGACTTCATATCATTATTATTGACTTCAAGTCTCCTCATTGTTCAAAATGATCTGCCACCATCTGCAGTTGTCTCCTCCATAGACACCGCTAGCTCACAAATTCCATATTAATTAAAGGATGATAAATTTCGATTATCATTTTATCATGGTGAGCATGTGCAATGCAGCGTACAATTATCAATCAGCAGCTACTACCATAGCTACAACAGAATGGTAAAGGGTGAAGGAGAAGATATCCCATGTGAATGGTGAAGTATGTCAATATGACAGTGAATTGATAAGTAGTGGTATGAAATATAGCTCAAGGAGGTCACTATTAAGGTCTTTGAAAAATAATGGATTAAAAGGAAGTGATTGGGCTCGGTTTATGGCCGGTGAATGAAGATTTTTACAAAGTTTCAACAAGGTGAATAACGAAAATGATGATGGGTCCTCTAAAGGGGAATATGAGTATTTATAGTAGGAAAAATCTTCTCCTAACATGAAAAGTGTGATGTCATAACCGTTTTCAGCATTATGGGCTCCACTGAGGTATGAGATTGTGTGACTCCCACGTGTAATGTTCATACGTGTGTGAAAGTGAGAAATAATCAAATATGGAGGGTCATTTATACTTAAGAAGTGGATGACTTGATCTTTTCGAATAATCAAAATGAATATCCGGATAAAACCATCCCATCTATTCAGAGAAAAAATTTATGATGCACCAGAACCACTGCGGTCCTTCAATTGAAATTTTGGCACTTGGTTTAAAAAAAATTTAATTTTTTTCTCTCTCCTCTCTCACCAGCTTTTTCTCTCTTTCTCACTCCTCCCTCCATTAAATATTATGTGTTCTAAGAGCATTAAATATGCTCTCCTATTCAGAACATATCAGAACTAAAATTATAAAATCAGGGTGTCCTTTTATCTTAGCAACAACTTTTTTTTCCGGGTCTCAAAACTAGTAAACAAAAACATGGCTCGGCACACAAAACATGGCTCTCTTGATTTTTAGACATAATGTCTCCATTATTAAAATGTTGTCCCACTTAGGGTATGTTTGGATGAGTTTTTTTTTTCTTTTCAAAAGCTACTTTTTTTCTTGAAAAAAAGCACTTCTCAGTTTTAGTTTATTTGGATGTCTGCTTTTAAAAAAGCAGAAGTCACAAAAAAAGCCAAAAATCTACTTTTTTCAGAAACTAAAAATTTTAACTTCTAAAAAAAGCAGAAGTCAAAAGCCAAATATTTTTTTCAAAAATTAAAATTTTTATAAAAATATAAATAACTTTAACTTTTGTAAAAAAAACTTTTATAATAAGAAAAAATAAAAATTACTTTTTTTAAAAGGGTAAACAAACGGGCTCTAATACCAAGAAGCATAGGCACGTAGTCAAAAACATTGGATAAACAACTCAAACTAGATCGTCCCTTTAAAAAAGTTTTGCAAGGATTGGCCCATTTCTTTATTGTTTATCTTCAATAATACAGATTACTTTCCCTACATTATTTATTTGTGGGTAAGTGGCTGAATTATGCTGGCTTTTGACCCAGGTTCACTTGACATTAAAATTAAATGGAAATAAAGATAAAGAGAAGTGATATGGTGTGTGTGAAATCTTACAATATAATCTTATAATATAGGGGGTTAGAAAATGGATTACAAAGAGTGACAAAGATGTGAAATAATCAGGTTCATGTGACGAGGTGGGTGACTTAATTAGGTGGATAAGGACTTCGCTCTAATGTGGAAGCTACCTGGATATTACCTTCGAAAAAGTTTTTTCTGGAAAGTAGAGCCAATGGTTAAGGTAAGGAAGATATTCCATGGATTGGGATAGAATATTGCACTCTTTTTTATTCCTCCAGTCAAATTGTTGTCCTTTTCTTTCCAATTTGGCCAAGTTGATTCGCATCCCCTTTTGAAACCCCTTTGACTTTTTTCTTTCTTTCTTATTCACAGCCCCGAACATTAAATTCTTGCATATTTTAGTGTAATACGACTTAATTATTCAAAATTGAATTTAAAATCATATGTTAGGGTTTGTGGTTAAGCACGAATATTGTGTATACATAGGAATTTCTCAAGCAAATTATTATTATTATTTTTTTTTTTAAAAAATCAATTCAATCTAAAAATTTAAACTGATGAGATTATATTAATGGATTTATATATCTATAACATACTCATTTATACGAAAGCTCATTAAACTTAAAGAGTAGATAATAGATAAGTTCATTTACCTGTGCTAAAAAATTTCACAAAAAAATTGAAGGATAAAGATAAGGATTGAACTCGTAATTTTATGGTCACACTGATATTTTGTAAAAAAATAAATTCAACTCAAAAACTTAAGCTGATGGATAAGATTATATATGATTATACACATATATATATATATATATATATATATATATATATATATATATATATATATAACCTTACTCATTAGTTTAAACTTTTAAGTTGAATTAATTAGTTCTTTACACTAAAAAAAATGGTTCAAAATAATCAAATCCCCGTGCAAGTTTACCAAATGATATGTCTTATCCCATCTATTGGTCTTTGAATATTTTGTTTTGTCATAGCAGGTCTTACTTGGGCATCAAGCATGCTCTTTCAGGCTGTCTTGTGAAGTATAGTATAATAATGAACTAATTGATAGAGATGAAAAGTAATATAAAAATCAGCAGTGAATCTACTGGGGAATGTAGCAACTAGAAACAGGTCCAAGTGAAATGAACATCTTTGGTCTCTATTAA